ATTTGAAATACCTGTGCTTCCTGCACCACCAGGCTCTGCGCGGCTCCTGGTCCCATGCATGTCTGCTCTCCAGAGCGTCCTGACTGTCACAGATGAGAGAGGAGGGCTGAGGTGGGGGAGACTCAGCCTAATGCCCCACCTGCAAGCGTGCCAGAGATGGCATCTGTCTGTTGTGCTCCTCTGTGGAGCTGTACGGGGAGCGAGCAAGAGCCTGTTGGAGGGAGGGAGCCTGCGTGTGAGGCTGCTGTGCCACACCAGCCTGCATTTGTCTGCCATCTCCTCTCCCTTTGGAGAGGCCATCCTGGCTGGGGATGGGAGCTGGGAGCTTTCCCAGTGCCCCAAGTCTGTGGTCAGCTGGCGAGAATGGAGTGGGAGCATGGGCAGCCCATCTCATTTGTGCTGCAGGAAGGAGCAGCCAGGGGAATTTGAATGAGGCTGAGAAAAAAGGGAGAGACAGTGAGCACATGCGGAAAGGATTTGGATGGGAGATACTGGAGCAGAGCTAGCCCTCGTGCCCTGAGCTGAGAAGTTGCTGAAGAAGCAGGACAAGTAAGGACAGAGTGACAGGAGTGAATAGCAATGCTGGGAAGCTGGATGCCCACAGAGCAGTTCCTTTGCTCCAATCAGCTTGTTGGGGAATCTGCATGATTTTAATGTACATTTTTCTAGCTGGTGTTTGCAACAATTCCCTGGGGCTTGGTGATGAAACAGGTTTTCTTTCTAATTTCTCCCTCAAACAAGCATACAGCTGCTTAATGTGCAGCTGGTTGTGAGACCACATGTGTGGCTACACAGGTCATACCAAGTCCCAACACAGGTAAGTTATCATGGTCTTGTGAATCCATGGTGTGGTTTGTTGAGTAGAACTGCAACAGTAACTATTGACAGATATGTTTATTAATATCCTGTGGCTTTATTATGTCTGTTAGCTGATATGTACCTGGCTTAAACATCATTCAGTCTGAAAACAGGATCCTTTTTTCCTTTAATAGCCTACATAAACAGAAAATGTGGTTTTGGTGGTGTCATACTTTGGACCCCTCTGCTATGACAGCATCCCAGCTGGGATGGAAGCAGAGGGCAGAGGTAGTGTGGCATCCTGCTTTTCTGTCTGAGGCTCTTGGTATATATTCCTGGACCATGAGCCATCTTGGCTGGCCACAGTGGGACAAGCGCTCTCTAAGCATCACGAGCCAGCTCAAATGATAAGACGGAGGACTGGGCAGACAATACCTACCAACAGAATGTGATGGTGAGGAATGAGAAAGGGCAGACCTAGCTTGCAGGTCCTGGAGGCTTGATGGCTAAGTATATACGAGCATGAGTGTGCTCTCCCGTGGTTGCTACACTGCTTACAAGTGACGGGGAAGGAGTCAGGTTGCACACTGCACATGTGAATATGTACATCCCATGCAGGGCTGATTTTGCCCTTTCTAAGGTGTTTTTAGTGAACCCATTCTGCAAGAAGATTCTCCCCTCTGCAGCCTGTGTGACATTCACAGCCAGCTGGTAGAAACTGTGGGTTCGTTTGTTTTTTCCCTTCCCATCCCCTCCCTCTCATTATTGGAAATGAAAGGAGGTGAAGGCAGAGATGAGGCTGTGCATTGCGCTGTGCTCTTGTTCTGGCCCCACTGGCAGCATCCCGAGCCTGGTGATGAATGAGCTTCTTGCGTGAGATCCTCCACTGAGGCTTCAGCATCTCTAATAAGGTGGCCAGCATTTCACTGTCCTCTGCGCCTGCCTCTGCTTTATTAACTGCACCGCAGCAATATTAAGCTGGAGCACTGGGCCAGCGTGATCAGAAGGAGGAAGGAGGCTGAGGAGGGGGGTGGAGGGAAAAAGATACCAGGGTAGCATGGGAGAAGAGCATGCACAGAGCAGGAGAACAAGGGCAGCAGCGGGTGATTGAAGCAGAGGATTAAAAAATGGGTTCCTGCTGGACTGATGCGGGCAGCTTTGCACAGAGCTGCTGCTGGCAATCAGGAAGGCAAAGGGTGTTCAGGAGAGGGGGAGACAGAGCCAGACCCAGACCTTGGCCTTAATGGCTCTGTCTGCTGGCCCCGTGCTAGTGACTGCAAGCCAGCACCTGCTCTGTGTGCACAGAGCAAGCGGCTGGCTGAAGCTGTCCCCTTTTTCTCCTTTGCACTAATTTCATGCCCTTTAAACTGTGCTGGCAGCACACCTGACCCTTTCTCCTGATGGCTGCAGCTAGCCCAGGGCAGACATTTGGCCCATTCTTCTGTTCACCCAAAAGAGCCAGTCTTTCGAAAGACATCCTGGGCCAGTTCTGTCAGGATAGCAGGACTGTAGGGGTTGTAGGAAGGATGTGTGGAGGGCAGCCTTGCTAGCAGCTAGTTGCTGTGTCTGTCCAAGTTGCAGGTTGAATAGAGACAGGACACAGGCTGAGAGAAGAGTTGGGTCCGAAGTATTTGGTGGAGGGAGAAGACCCTCACAAAACTTTTCCCCTCTGCTCCAAAAGGAGGCACATGCCAGGCTCCAGCTCTGCCTTTCCCATTACCTAGTGATCCAGGTCTTTCCTGGGAAGCAGGAGATTTGTGACCCATGGGGGGCATATGTGTCTTTATTAATTTTTGTTTCACAGCCAAACCTGGGTGGCAGCCAGGTATTTATTTGGTTAAACCCATGTGCCCTTGAGGATAGACTCAACTGGGGGATCTAGAGCTTTGCAGTCCAGACTGGAGGCTGATTTCTCAGTTTGTCCTGGATTAGGTGATGTGGGAGGGTAAGTGATTTGACATTGCTCCCAGAGGCTTTAGATACCCAAATTCCACCTAACTCCCAGCTGAGGTGGAATTTGCACTGTCTGAATCTCACTCTCAGGCTGCTTTCCAGCTCTCCATTTTGTTTTTCTTCTAAAGGTTATGTCTAGATGAGGGAAATGGCTCCTGACCTCCTCCTATTTGCTGGCTGCATTCCCAGCCCCCCAGTTCAGGGCAGCCTGCAGGGAGGAGCTGCCACCAGCCCCACCAGTCAGGCTCTGCTCCCCAAAAAGCTCTGTGCCAGGACCCGTACTGCTCCAGCCTTCTCTTTCTGGCTTGTGACCCCTTCCTCTCCTCTCAGATAACTGGGGGTCTGGTGCCGTGCTAATGATCCCAGGTGAGATTGCTGCCGCTGGGAGCCAGCTCCACTCTCGCTTGGTAGAGTGACGGTGCAGAGGACTGGCAGATGGGAGGGCTGAGCAGTAGGCAAGCCAGTTGGATCAGCACCCAGCTTGCATGCATGCAGATGGGGCGTTGTTGGTAAGAATGGGTCCTGGCAGCATCCCAGTGCCAAGTTCATGCTTGGTTCCCAGAGTCACTGCCCTGGTCCTGCCCACCAGGACTGCTCCCAGGTGCGTCATGGGAAGGCACCAAGCTGGGGGAAGGCACCAGAGAGGTTCTCGGCCTTCTGACCCATCTTGCATGGGGGAGGAGGAGGAGAAGGGTGCAGAAAGCAGTTCCTTAAGCAACTTGCACCCTGATCTCTTTAGGTACAAAGGTCTCTTTTAGGTACAATCTGTAAGGCAGGTACAAAGTTGTTGTTCACCGTGAGAACCACACACAGCCACTGGTTCCCAGGGGCCAGTCCCTGACCCGACACGGTACCATGGCAGCATCTGGTCCAGCCCTGCCCCTTCGCTTGGGAGCACTGTCCAGCCTGTGGGCATATCGACTCAGGTGAGGAGGTGGGTCCTGGCCATGTTGGAAATGAACAGGGTTCTGGCATGGGAAGCTCTCCAGTGGCAGCCATTGGCTCTGAGTTTGAATTTAGGGTTATGTACATTAGGGCTGGAGGCAGGCAGAGGAGGGATTGCATGTGCTTGTTTTACCAAGCACCACATCTTGCTCCCCTGCCCTGCCTTGCTGATGGCCTTCACTCCTGCCATGCCCTCACTCTGTCTTCTTGCCCCACACTCTCTACACTGACAGATTTGCTGTAAACCTTCCTCCCTGCGTCCCTGTTCCAGTCGTCCTGTAACTTCAGAGTTAATGATAAACACAGAGCCGACCTATCAGGACAATTGCCTTTGTGATGAAACCTGTCAGCCTAGAGGATATATCAAAGGCAGGGGGAGGCTTAGTGTTTGGGATGGTGAACACTGGGCCATGGCAAGCCCTGACAAAGGTCTTTTTACCAGGGCCAGCATCTCCAATAACATACCAGGACCAAATCTTGCCACGAGGATCCAGGCACTGCAGGGCAACAGGCAGGAAACTGTATCTTCACAGTGCAATCCTTGTTCTTGTCCTTCCCCCACCAAGCAAGCATGACTGTGGCAGGGAAGTTTCACTGACACATAATTCATCATTTTTAGTGGTGGTGTTTCTGACAATGATATTTTTCCCATTGTTTTCTTGAAACTTCCCTGCTGCCTTAGCAGACTGAACAATGTGCAGGCTGGTATGGTTCAGCTGGCTTGGTTCAGCTTCTTCCTCAGTGGGCACTCCAGAGGACCACTGACTTGAACTAGACCCCTTGCTCTGGTCTGTGGAGGGGGCATGGGCTAGGGTTCAAGGGTGAATCCTATGGAAGAGTGATGAGAAAGCATGGCAGTAGACAGATCCCAGTGAAATGCCACAGGACCCAGGCAGCAACTGAATGAATTCTGCAGCAGTGATTGTGAACTGAAGGGTATCTTGGCAAAACGCCATGCTGACTGTGCACAGGACCTTGGTGCACTAATGGAGGTGAATTGGGTTCATTGCTTCCCTGTTGGAGACATTGATTTGACACATGGTTGCTCCAGGTCCTGTTCAAGTTGTCCCCCCCAGTCAGGAGGACCCAAAGGCTTTCCTTCAGGGAGAGTTCAGGCTCCTGATCACTGTTCTGTACCAGGGCTGGGAATTTTCAAACCAATTCTGCATGAAGATCTCATTGATAAACCAGGTGTATTTGTCTGTATAGGAAGAGGAGAAATAGGGTGTTAGATTGTGGATAGAATCCCTCAGGTCTCCAGTTTCAGGATTTTTCTTAACACTGTGCATTCTTTTTCTATGCAGCTGGCTCAGAGAAACACCATCCAAACCTTCATTCCTGTGCAGAAAATGGAGAAGGGCCTGTTGCTGGAGCACATCTTGCCCAACCTGAAAGTGCCTCAGAGCTATGAAGTTCGCCTGACACCCATCACCAGCTTTGGGGCTGGGGATATGGCTGCCCGCATCATCCAGTACATGGAACGTAGGTGTCTCCTCCTCGGTCCTAGCTACAAGAGCAGGTCTGAGCCTCAGGCCTAGGGACATGTGCATGTATAGATGTTGTCTCCCATGACCCTTGGGTAGATCTCTGCTCTACAGAGTTTTGATGGCACAGTGCTATCACATTTGGCCATATTTTGGCTGTTGCCGTCAATGCAGAGCACTAGATAGAGATTTCTGAAGGTCAGTCTCCATTCATCCTTCACTCAGCAGCTCTGACTCGCACTCTGCACTCTGTGGGCAGGAACGCCACAAAACCCCAGTCCCTGGTCAGGCCATGCTGCAGCCTCCCCTGGCACAATGGCATATTTTAGAGGACAGGCACTGGAAACTGCGTATTAGACACATGCCCATGAAAGTAGGAGGATTTAGGATGTCAGGGCACTTCAGTTCTTTCCAGAGCTGAATGCACAGTTCACTTCACTAGTTGCTAGTAAACCTGTAGCTCTGTCTAATACCCTTAATGGCAGATCATCCCATTGATACACATTGACCATGCTTCTCCCCAGCATCCCAACAACTAACACCTCTCCCCATTCTCACAACTTTATGATTTCTTTACTGCCCTCAGGAGTTGGATGCTGCATTTCAGCAGAAAGTACAGATCCCCCTCCTCCTGTGTTTGCGTGATTTCACACAAACCTCTTGTCCCATGGAGTGACAGCATACCTGTTGTCTCAGACTTCCACAGTGTCTCAAACTGTTTTGATGTCCTCTTAGACACCAAGCTTTGGTATCTAAGTAGGTGCTATCCCAGCGGATGCTCCAGAAACTACTTGGGTTGCCAGAAGGGTTTCCCTGTGCAATCCCAGGATCACCCCTTAGGTGGGATTTTCTTAAAGTCTGTTGCTGCTTGGATCAGAGAGTCAGCATCTTGTTCCATCACCAAGGCAGGCACTGAGCACTGCTGTTTCACAGGGATGCTGCTAGGAGATTTGTGCATCTATGACCTTTCTTGATGTGTTTGTTTTATTTTCAGACTGTGATTGTGATTTGTGATTTGAGGGAATGCTAGCTGTTCTGACTTGTTTTTCTGTTTCTTCTTCCAGCAATCAACTATCCCAACCCAACAGGTAAGCAACAAGACCTTTGTATTTATGTTTTGAATGTAATGCATGTTAGTCAGGTGCTCCAGCAGATCAGGAAAGCCAAACAGCTGGAATACACAGCTGACTTTGCCAAATCTTTTTCCCCAAAAGAGGATAAAATTGCATACACTAGTTCTTCCAGTAAGTAATGCCATTTGTTGTACCTCAAATTATTGCCAGAAGATATACACCAGAGATATACCTCCCACTCACACCTGATATCTCTGCGACTGGATAGGTTATGATTTTGAACCTACCCTCCCGCTAACACTAGCAATCTGCATTCAATAAGCATGTTATTAAATGTTTCCTAAAATATCTGTGTTTAAGGACTGTATATCCCCCATCCTCTTCTGACCAGGAAAGATACCACTTGACATGTCTGCAGGCTGGTATGGAGCAGTCTCCAGCTCAGATCTGGTTCCTCTTGCAAACTCCTTGACCACAGTCCCTTTCTTCTTTCCCTCCAGTGTCATCACTGTTTACTTGCTTATTTACCTTCTGGTCATTCCTGCCAAGATGCAGGCCCATCTTTATTGAGCACCCAGAGTTCCCATTGATTTTGAGAGCAGAATATACAACGTCTCAGAATGATGGTCTTTAACAAGAACATGATGCTGCCCATCAAGCATAAAAGAGGATTTCTAGCGTGCTGTAAGTAGTGGTGGAGTGATCTTCAGGGGATGAAACAAAGTCCCTTGCTTCAGTTGTTGGATATAAGCCCAGGCAAAGCTCTTGGGCAGAGATGGGCAGATTACTTGCCGGTGGTCCATGGGGAGCAGGTGGTTTCATGTAGCCATTTCTTTCTCCCTGTTTCCAGCTGCTGAATCAGCATTCAGTCTTTTTATATATTACTGTGTGTACGTGTAGGCAAGTGCTACTGCTGCACTGCAGGGTAGCAGTAGGAAGGAGAAGCCAGGATTAGGCAACGGCAGCCAGGAACCAGGGTATGGGGTTATCTTGTTAAGGCAGCCACGAGGCATGCTCTGAGGATGGTTTGATGAACCATTCTCTGCCTGATAGCAGGAGCTTCTTATAGAGTCAGAGGGATTTTGTGGCTCTAATTCTTGATTCCCTTTGCTTTGCTTTTCCCCACTTTCTGATCCTCCTTAAACATTCTGCATAGAAGACTCACTGGGAAACACTGAGTGTATTGCCAGGGACCCACTCCAGAATGTGTCCCTCAGTGTCCGCTGGAGGAGGCAAGCATCCCAGCCCATGGGAGGAAGTGACAAAATCTGGCCTTTTGCCACTTGTTTTTACACTACATAAATCACTGGTAAAGCCAGAGCAACTTTGATCCTAATTGTATCAATCTCCTGCAGTCTTTGTAAACTGAGCCTTCAGATTGCTCACCTGGAGTTGCTTTGGCAGTTTGACTGAGACCAGAATGACTGCATGAACTTTGCCTGTGGTGGAGGATAACTCAGCCATACTTGTATTTTCATGCAGTAAACATTTAGGGTTTCTCCTTGATACAAGTTACCCAACCTGTGCTGGATATTGGGACCTTTGGGCCGATCATCAGGGTCTTGCCCATGAGTTCATGCCTTGAGATTGACTGCCTAAAGTTGCATCCACCACATTTGCTTTCAGAGGTGCCCGTTCCTTTCAGACTGCTGCCAGTGAAACATGAGCCCAAAGGCCCTTAGCTCTCCCAGACTCTCATCCCAGTAACAGGGAAATCCCTGCTACTACCTCTTATTTTCCTGCTTCCCCCGCTACCACCACCCCCAGGGAAAAGGGTTGGGACAGGATTGTAAAGGTATCCTCACGCTAGGCTGCCCAGCCAAATTCTGGGAGCAAACACTGAGAGCTCTCAAGTGAAAGGCAAAGATTAGATGATTAATGCCTCTGGCAGCCTGATCCAAGGGTATGCACAATGGTGATTAATTTACAAACTCTGAGAGTCACTTAATACAATTATTTCTTCATGCATTTTCTCTCTCAGCCTAATAAGATGTTAATGACATTGGGGCAGGCATGCATGTGGCATGGTTACAGAGCCAGGTACTGGGGTTATAAAGCAAAAGCAATGTAAAAGCAGAGGAAGTGAACAAAAGACATGAGGATTTCAAATATTTAGAGGTTAGCAGTAAGACTGACCGTAATGCTTAAAAATCAGTTAATCTGGTTCTAAAAACCAGAATTTATCTTTAAAAAACTGTCTTAGAATTATCTTAATTCTAAGGTATTACCTAAAGAACTCTTAGAATAACTGATCATTTTAATGTCATAACTAGATTCCAGTGCTGGGGAATCTGCTCTGTCCTTCTTACCTCTCCCCTGCAATTTCATTTGGATATAGCCTTCACTTTCTAACCCAAACCCTGCAGTGCTGCCCCGCAAGCTATTCCAGCTCATCAGCAGTGGATGGTTTGGTTTGCCTGGTTCTTGCAGATGTAGCCTTGCAACCCTGGGGACGAGGGCATTAAGGAGCATATGGGATTGCTGGGGTTTTTTTTCTCTTGCCCTTCCAGAGCAGCAACACTGTTTCTCATATATCTGCAGTCTGGCTGTGTGTGGTGCTAAAATGTTTTGGGATCGTGGACAAGTACGGTGGGTGGTGATCAGTGCCAGATGCTGGTTGTTGTAGATTACCCTGGCTCATTGCTTACTGTCTAGTGCTTGTGTGTCCTGTCTCTGATAATGTCTCATAGTCCAGAATAGTCTGAGCTTGTTGCCCCTCTATGAACATGTGGGAATGAGATGTGAGCCTAATGTTTAGAGTTGGATTCCTCAAATCTGTGCCCACTCCTCAGGAATGTGTGTAACGCAAAGGTTAAAAAAGGTGACTGCCACCAATTCCTTGTATCATGATGGCAAATAGGATTGTCTAGGTCATATCATCCCCTTGTCACAGATGGAGATATTAAAGCAGATGGCAATCCAGTGTGACCCAAACAGTTATGGTATTGTGAAGCTTTCTTCCATTACTGGTTATAAATGCTTTAGAAACTTACCATGGAAAAGGCTGTTAAATGCTGTTTCTTAGATCCAACATACTTTGAGGTTGCAATACAGTTTTCATTGTCTTCATCTTCTAGATGGGGAAACTGATCTCCAGAGAGAAGGTGATAGCCTATGGGTCACGCAGCAGGTCTGCAACAGAGCTGAGGCTTGGAGCGTGGTCCCTTATGCTCCGAGCCAGTTTCAGTCATCAGACCACAGCTAAATGACGAAGGCAATTTTATTCAAGTGCGCTCCATCTGCTCTTCGCCCATAGTCTGCAGCTAGAATAGGATTATTATTTTTTGCATTCATCTGGCAGCCAGAATTTCAGGACCAGGGATGGCTTCCCCCTAAGGACTTGAAATGAAAATCTCCATTATGTTTCTCAAGAAGGCAAAGCAACAAGAAATGCTAATAGCCATGGCAGAGGGTCTCTCCCTTGAGAATGCAGGGAGGTGTCTGTAACTGGGAGCAAACGCCTCTGCACTTCAAGCTGCTGCCACTGCAAAGCCTGCCAAGGAAATCTGTTTGGTGAAGACAAGGCTAACTCCAGCCTTTGAGGAACCAGCTCCCCTGCCACCTCACCTCACCTCTAACAATTCAGAGAACAACTTCTGTGTTCAATATTTAAATCCACTGTTTAATTTTTAAACGGGAAGCTTCCTTTGTGCCGCAGTGCTGAGCCAGGATCCCTGGCAGATGGTGTGAGTCTGCATGAAGGTTTGCTTCATACAGCCGAGGTCAACAGTTAGATCACCACTGTGGCCTCTGAGACACAGCAGTTCATTTAAAGGTTTTCTTTTTGGCTGGATCTGCCAGGGTTCTCCTGGTGAGCCTTGCTGATAACCATCCAGAGGTGACGTGCTGGCGGTATCCCAAACCACACCGAACATCTCCTAGTTATTCTGGGCACCTCCACTTCTAGCTTGGAGAAAAGCCAGAGCTTTGCCTTCCTGTGGCTTGTTTTAAAACAAAGGACCAGGAGTCAGAGCATTTGGGTTCTGTTTCCAGCTTTGGCACTACCTGCTGTGACCTTAAACATGTCTCTCTATACTTTTGTGCATCTGTTTCCCCACATGTAATGCAATATATATATATAGAAAGAGGCATTGCTACCTCATAGAGGTGTTAAAAAGCCTTGTTCATTAGTTGTTGCAAAGTGCCTTCAGATCCCAAGCTAAGCAGAGGCAATGTGCTGTAGTTATAAACTCCTGCACAGCAAATGGATCAGGCATAAGCCTGATCATGTTGCGGTACTGTGGTGCATAGGACCCTTCTCTATTTTATGCTCTCTCTTAGAAGTGTCGCCTTCTGGAAGTAGCTGCATCTGGGTGAGAGGACAGGGTGGAGTCAGGGCCCTGTTTTGGCATTAAAATAGCTCTCTCCAAACTTTCGCGTCTTCTCCTCTGAGCAATCTCATCCCATGGGTGTATGAGGCTTCTTACAAATGAGGCACAGTAGTCCATCAGCTGGCACGAGCAGGCCTTGCTGCGAAGCTGGAAATACTGTCTTCAGTCCTCTTGTCTTGCACAGCTCTCTCTGATCTCCACCTGAACTTGGGCTTTCTCCTTCATCTGCCTCTCCTTTGGTTTCTGTGCCTCATGCTTTGTGGGTTTGCTCCATCTCAGTCACTTGCCTGGCTGGCCTCTGTGTTACAGCTTTCAGCTCTGCTTTCCACCTGATATTCCCTGTTAAGGGAATTTTGTGCTGGAAAAAGATGTCACCTGTCTCCTCTGAAGGTCCACGTGCACAACAGGGTCAGAGGTGCAAATCATCCCGGTCCCTTGCAAAAGAACAGTCACGGTGGATCCTGCTGTGTAGGATAATGCCATTGTAAGAGAAACCTTGTGTCTTCTAACTGCAGCTGGCAACCTGTGAGCTGGAGCCAGGCAAATGTTTGTCTTCAGTTCAATGGAGAGGAGCTGGGGTGTTAGACCAACCCAGCAATATCAGAAAGCTTGTGGGCTCCAGCCCCTCCTCTGAGGATCTGTGTCTGGTGCAGCCATGAACTCCCTCCTCTCAGCAACAAGGGCTGGGGAAGGACCCTTAAAAGCTGCTTTCTCACCCTTTTCCCCCCTCCATCTCCTTGTGCTGGGGATGAAAGGGACGCCCCAGCCCACACAATTGCCCTGCCTCAGACCCTGCAGGCATCTGCCCCATCGTCTGCTCCCAGATCATCCTTCCTCCAGCTCCAGCTGCCATGTGGCCCCCTGTGCTCGGCACTTCAGAGCAGTAGCTAATTTGGATTAGGATGCTAATTAGAAATGAGCGGATTGAACGGAAAGCACTTAGCCAGGGTTAATCAGCAGTTAAGTGGCCAGTCCAGCCGAGCTCCAGATGGCTGTGCTCAGCTCGCAGGAGTGGAGTTTCCCACTGAGCTTAGAGAAAACCCAGCTGCCCTGGTCCATGAACCAAGCCCGTGGCTTGCAGCACAGAGCCCAACCTGTGGTGGCAAAGACGTTTTTGTGGGCCACAGCTGGAGGCTGCCTCCTCTTTTCTCACTGCTTTTGTGGGATTCTGGAGAGAGACAAGCAAGAAGGGGGAACAACAGCATGGAGACCCCATTTTTCTGCCACAGGGGTCTGCAGGCTTTTGATGTCTCTTTGGATGATGGTCATTTTCATTTCCAAATTGGAGGGGGTGGGGAGAGCCTTAGCTGCAGGGTAGGAAGCGGGAGGTGCAGCATCTCAGAGTCAAGGTGCTGTTCATTTCATGGGTAGTCTCACCTACCTGGTACAAGATGGCAGATTTTGGTGTGCATGGTAGGTGTGTGAAGCTCCTACTATCACAATGTACCATGTCTAGAGCTTTTGGCCCTGGCATTGCAGAAAGTTTCCCTTGCCCTTCCCATCCTTGGCACCCAGCCCATAGGTTGCTGACCCTGTTCTGCCCTACGTGTCCTGCCAGAGTCACCCATGATAGGACAGAGAACCTCCTGCCCAGGAACCAGAGGAAACCACCACTGAAGGTACAGAAATGCAGGAGCCCAAGTAGGCATTTGGGCTTCTCTTCATCTGGGCATGGTAACAGGAACAGTGTGTGGGGGTAAACCCCAAAAAGTTGAGTCTTGCACCAGCATGCCATGAATGAGGTTTCTAGCACATCCCAAGCCCTTAGCAAGAGCCTTGTTTTCCTTTCTGTATGTGTTCTTTCATGGCTTTTACATACCTTATCTTTCCATTTCATAGCACATCTCCTTGCTCTTATATAAAGGCAGAAGGTAGAGATCTGCACTTACTATGTCTGTGCTACTCTCGAGGTCCAAGATCCCACTCTCAGCCCATTCTCCAGCTCTGGTTTCTGTCCAGGGACCTTTTGGAACACAAAGGAATTTTCACATCAGGTCTTGGACCTGTTTTCTCTTGCTCTTCTGCCTGTTTCCTCCATCCCTCTCCTACTGTATCAGCAGTGCAAAGCTGGTTCTTGGCCTTTGTTTTTGTGGCTCACGAACTACCTTTTTACCAGAAAGGTTACCATCTTCAGCCTGGTCAAGTCCAGTTCATTCGAGTCTCTGCAAGTCCATATTGGGTTATGTCTATGCACAAGGTTTTTCACCTGTCTTACAATATTGCTGTAAGGTGTGACTGTCTTGTGGTAGTAATAAAATGGAGCCCTATTGCACATGTGGTTGATCATACATAAAAATCTTTTACCTACATGACTTATTTTGTTAGGGGAACCAGCATAAGCTGCAGTATCAAATGTGCCTTTTAACTGGTATAAATTGGATGTACTCTAGCTAAATGACACATTTGTAGCACTGAGCTGACCTCTTCTCCGCAGCCGATTTTTTTCATGTGTGCCGTAGTTTAGTTTAATATATAGCCCAAAGGGGGGTCATCTGCTGGTGCTTTTTCCTCTCTCCTGTGGAAATTATTCTACCATCAAGTTGTTCTGGTTTAAAAGCCCTTGTGGCCTGTTTGCCTTCAATGCTCTTTTTACTCTCCTCTACGTTTGCCCCCTCAGAGTTCCCAGAGGAATCTCTCTTTCTCTTTAGCCCAATAGCCTTCTTCCGTTTCGTCAGACCATCACAACCATCAGCCTGGATTAACCCTTCCATAACCATACTAATCACGGATATATTGCTTTTCAGCCTCTTCCTGAGGTTGGGGGCTGCCTGTCTGTCCCCAGCTTGACGCAGAGCCGCAGTGGTGGCGTAGCAGTGCCGTGCAACTTGCTGCAAGCACCCAGGCAGCCTTGGGGAGGAGGTTTGAAAAGCTGCAGCTGACCAGCCCCTTCCCTTCCCTGCAGATAACACCTGCCGCTTTGAGGATGAGAAGATCTGTGGCTTCGTGCAAGACAAGATGGACAACTTTGACTGGACCCGGCAGAACGCCCTGACCCAGAACCCCAAGCGCACCGTCAACACAGGGCCCCCCACGGACATCAGCGGTACGCCAGAGGGTAGGCACACGTTTGGGTTTCTTTTGGCTTGTTTGGAGTCCTATGGCTCTGGGAGCTGGTGGAGTGCTGATCTGCTTTCCACACTACATACTTCTCTGCACAGGGTGCAGGGAGCAAGCAGTTAATTTGCATGTTACTGACTGGCATTAAACACACAATTGAAACACCCATGACTTTGTTTAAGGGAATAGTGTGGGCATTAGTTCTTGTCACCAGCTAATTGCCTGCTGCCTAATGCCCTTGTCCCATTTGATGCTTGTTTTGAAGGCAAAAAAGGATAAACAAGTAGGAGAACATCTCTAACACCTAGAAATGGTCCTGCTGGTTTCAGCCAGCTGTTTACTCAAAGAAGGTCTCTGGGAGGCAAACAGATCTCTTTAGTACCAAGCAGGAGCATGACAGACCAGGCGGGAGCTGCCTGCCGGGTGGCAGCAAGTGCCTCACCTCTGGCTAGAGGAGACTGGTGTTGTGTATTGCTCACACTAGCTGTGCATGGAGTACATGTTCCTGTTTTAGCTGGATATTACTTTCCCTTTTCTCTAACGAGGAAGGTAAATTTGTATGCAAGCACAAATCTTTGAACTCAGAAAAAATGGGAAACATCCAATGGCCAGCTAAGGAAATGGCTTTTCCCATTAGTGTTCAGTACACCAGCCTGATGGAGCATTGAAAACGATGCCAACAAATTAAATAGCTAATCTGTTCCTCCCTGGGTTGTTAACAACTGCTTTGGTATTGTTCTCTTTAGATAACAATATTGTTTAGGCCAGATATACCGAATCCTCTCTCCCTCTGCTTGAGGCAGAGAAATTAGGCTGGAATGGTTTCTCCCTCCTCTTTCTGGTTTTCTCCTTAAACAGTGCAGTCAGCTCTGGGGCTCCTCAGGCTGCGGAGAAAGGATCATTTTGCACCCAGACAGATGTGTGTGTGTGCATGTTCAGGGACTCATCTGCTGCATGTGTTCTCAGCAGGTCTGCTGATGCCCGTCTCTCCTGTTCTCCCATAAATACTGCAGAGGCAGGGGAGGCACTGTGGATGTCCTGCAAGTGTCTCTGGCCAGGATCATGGTGGGTGTAGAGCGGGTGGGAAGAGCAAGGCCATATCTCTTAGAGGAGGAGTGGTTTTCCAGCCCCAAGCATTCCATCACTTGCAGGGAGGGAGACCCAGTGCATGCTGCCTTTCCCCACCTTTCCCTCTCGTTCTGTAGGTTATTACATGTTCATCGAGGCATCCCGGCCCCGGGTGACAGGAGACAAAGCACGGCTCATCAGCCCCCTCTACAACATTACTGCCAAGTATTACTGTGTCTCCTTCTACTACCACATGTACGGGAAGCACATCGGTGAGTATCCTCTTGGGAAGGGTAACCCCAGCCTAGTGCAGGCTGTCAGGGAAGACCTCCAGCCTCCGCTGCACCAGCCGTGCCTGCAGCCAGTGATTCATGAGTCCTACTCCAGTGCTTAAAGCACCAGGGTGGGTTGTTGCTTTCAGATACTTGTCCCTTACCCACACCGCAGCAGTGTCAGGGTTGTGAGGCTGTTGCAGCCCATCCTCGGGGCAGTATCTTGCAGTCAGCCGGCACCCCTTCCCCTCTGGCTCACTCACCCTCTGGCATAAGGCTCCCTGCTTTCCACAAGAAAGAGCGTTGTACCCGTGTGCACACATTTCCCCTGCTCACGGCCACAGCCTCCTTGCTCCAGGCAGCAGGACAGCGGGTGAAGGGTCTGTCTGTCAGAAAGGAGGTGGAGGTGGAGAGCCTTTGTGGGACCAGGAGGCTCTTTAGTGGCTGCAGCTATTTTGGGGTGGGCAGGATGCGCGTTCCCTCAGCTGTGTGGAGGGGCTGTCTGCCTGACTCCCTCCTCTCTAACCATAAGCCTACAAGTGCAGCGAGCACCCCAGAAGCGCCTGGCACGCTAATGAGTTTCCATATCCAGTCAAGGAGCAATTGCTAATTCGTCACCTCTTGATTATAATTTCATTAATTTGAATAATAGATGCACTCTTCCCACAGCACACTGGGTTATTAATCACCTGCTGGACTGGAGCCTGACTGAAGAATCTGGGCCCAGGCAGGAATGTGTCCGCCCTTCAATAAACGGGGTTAATTAACAGCTCTCTGCCTTGGCACCGTTGATGTCATTGGGAGGGAACATGCTCCCAAATCCAGCCGTCACATCTCTGCACGCGTGTGGCATAGCAGAGAGGTTAAGCTGCAAAATCTGGGATCTCTTTCTTTCAGTGGGGGTGAGGCTGAAACCCTAACCCCGTGGGTGCCACGGGGATAGGGGCTGGGCTGCAGTTCACTGAGCAGGTCTCCATCTCTGTCTTTGCTCTGAGGGCTCATATTTGCTGTCTGCACTCCGAGTCCAGCTAGGTCAGAGGTGTTTGCATGCACCTGTATTCCCCCTGCAGACAGGCTGCTCCATGCTGTCTTCGCGCCAGCGGCAGCAGGTTGCTCAGGCAGAGCACTGTCAGTGTTGGTACACACCAGGTTTTCCTGGACCTGCTGGTCTTGCTTAGCTGACAGAGTCCAGCTGTTAATGCTGGCTGGCAAACTGCCCTGTTCCTTGCAGTTGTCTGTTGTGGTCAGTCAGCTTTGCTGCCTATTTCCTGCACGTCTTCTCCTGGAGGCTTTGAAAGGGATCTCATTCTTTGTGATTGCAAGGAAGGGTGGCCCAGACCAGTGGGAGACTGGCAAGGAAAGAAGATGTGGAGGGAGGAGGCCTCTCTTGTTTCGTTTCCTTTTGGAATAGAGCTATGTGTCATATTTCCCAGTTCATTTCATGCAGAAAGGAAAAGCCCATCAGCCTTTGTTTGCTTTTGGAAGAGAGCTCTGTTTTGCAGCTCTCATGTGGTGGTCTGTCTGGAGATGAGATGGACTGGACATGGCAGGAATCAATTCATTACAGGTTTTTGGCTTTTAGCATTTTAATTCTTTATTCGTTTGCTCCACCCACAAATTGCCCAGAGCAAAAGATACAGTCATTCCCAAGACCTAAGAAAGCCGCTGAGTGCCATTTTCTATTCCTCTGCTTCAGGCGCCTTTTATATCTGTTGATTTTTCCCTTCATACTCCATGTTGCTGCCCCTGCCTGCTCCCCATTTTGCCCTTCTTGCATGAAGGGGCTGATAAAGTTGTGCGAGGTGGATAGACTCTTTAATGCCATATGATGATTTCCAGGGTGGGTGCTGCTGAACTGAGAGCAAATAAATTATTTTAAAATTAGACTGACTAGATAGAGTCAGAGAATGAAAGAGAAAGAAATGAGAAAAAAGTTCTTTTTCTGTGGGCCTGTGGAATATGTGGCTTGGTCTAGCAAACCCACAACATATCTGTGTGCAAATTGAAATTCAGTACCTTGTATCTGCTCTCTACTCTGGAGTTTCTTTCAGGGCCAGTCATGATATTCTGTAATCATTTTGGCTTCTCTTCTACATATTGGGGCACCAGGATGAAACTGAGACGTCTCCAGGAAAAAACAGAATGCCCAGTAATCCTAAAATTGTCTGGTTTTCATCATTCCCGCTATGCTACTTACTAACTCTTCTGCTACTTTGTCTTTTCCCTTACTGCCACGCTGGCAGCACTCTGGCATAGCTCTCCTCATCCCTGCACATGCACGAACGAACCCGCTTTTGGGACACGCTCTGTTTCACCAGCAGGTCTAATGGCTTGATCTACATTTCTAATGCACGCTAGTTACTCCCTGGCTGGTTTTGCTTGTGCGGAGGTTGTGAGACTCTGCCAGAAAGCTTTAGCTTTTTTGGATGGTGCCAGGCTCGAGCCCTTGGTGGCTGAAGTCCTCTCAGAGTCCCCTGGAGAAGAGGCAGCCTGCCTGAGGGCAAAGCAAGTTTCTTCAGCTCTTCTTCTTTAGCCTGGGTTGAAGGAGAGTGCCCCCTCTCAGGTACAGGGCTCCTTGCTAGGACTTCTCCTGTCAAATGAGGAGACAGACCCTGGCCTCCTACCTGTATTACATATGCAATAATATGAAGGTAATGATGGGGTGACTACAACCAACCCTGGGCCATGTCTTGCTTCGCAACTAGCCAGCTATTCCTGATGCCTGCAGACACGGCCCCAACCCCTGGCTCACCTAGTGCCAGCCCAGTCCTACCAAGACAGATGCCAGCCCTCTTGAACTCACCGTAGCACTTAGCAAGAGCGTGTCAGATTGCTCCTGTTGGCAGACAGTGCAAGCAAGAGGATATCTCCCAGCCCAAGCCTTTCCTAGCAGCTCCAGCTCCGTCATGGAGCAAACTGAAACCCTGTCACTATGAAAAGAAGCTGTATAAAATCCCGACATTTATTTATTTTTTTAATAACCCTTTTATTACCTTTTTCCCCCCTCTACAGAACTTGAAAGCTGGTTTACTCTCACAATTTGACTATAAAATATCCATAGCCATCCAGGCAAATCTTCCCTGGGAGAGTTCCCAGACACTACTCGTTTATAATAGATATGACGAAAGAGAGAAACAGAATACAAATGGAGCGTTTGTAGCCATGGTATAAAACATTCAGCGACTAGCAGAGCAGGGTGATGTAGAGTATCTCTCAGCTGATGAGAGAGCAGGGTGAAGGGGAGCTCCCTGGAGGCAATTCCTGTTCGTCTGGAGTTATTTGGTCATTGGTTTTCCTTCCTCCGGCCCCCTTTCACATTGTCCTATGATCCTGCAGCCCAGTCACAAAAATCAGGGGGAGGGGAAGGAAAAAATCCCGTTTCCACCATGCATTCAAGAACAAGGGTGTCTTGCTTGCAGCAGGCGCAGATATATCAAACGAGGAATTGCTTGCTTTCTTCAGGAGAGGAAGCTAGCCACGGCAGGTTCAGTCGCCAAGTTCAAAAGCCTCTTTGTTGCGTTGGCTTGGTGAGTTAGCATCACAGCTGGGACCAGATGCTCAAGTCCTTGCTTCAGCCATCAGGCTCCTCTTCCTCCCTTTCCAGGGGCTGCCTTGGAGGGGAATGCTTTGAGGGGACAGTGTCCCCAAGGGACTGCTCCCACTGCAGTCCCCTGCCGTGTCTCTCACATCTCCTAGCTCAGTGGTAGCCAGGTTATGATCTGCATGGCCTCCTGCATGCTGCTGGATGCTTTTGCAGACCCTGCAGCAAGAGATGCCTTCATGGTCAGACCGCAGGAGGAAGGTTGCTCAGAGGGATGAGGAAATTTCAGCCACAGTGAATTTAGCTTTTTGTGTGGCCATTGTGGTCCAGAGTGATTGCTAATGCTATAGCTCCCTGTCTCGTGACCCAGTGACTGTGCTCATGGGGAAAACACTTGGGTCAAAGAGTTCGCTTGCTACATAAAAGCAGTGATGTAGGCTATACCCAAGCAGCATTTTTTTAGCCGCCTCCTGATTTGTGAGCTCACTGGTAGACCCTTTTCAAATTATGTTTGCTGTGTTTTAAATAGCAGTAGTCACTGTACACAGGCTTATGTCGAGATATGGCTTCCAATAGGGAAGAAGGCAAAGGCCCCTCCTTGCCCTGGGGTACCTCCCAAGACAGGACTGTTCAGCTGCTTCCTATAGTGAAACTGGCAAGTCCTGGGCTTCAAACCTGGGCCTGATTGAACACAATGTCTGAAGACCCTGTCCTTGGCTTGCAATTTTTGTACTTTGAGCCTCCTTTCTGCCCTAGCAGTGTCATGGTCTTACCTTGGCCAGTTCCTCTCCCAGAAATCAGGGAACAGACTTATTTTCTGGCATGTGTCCAGCATCCACGAAACTCATGGAGAGTTAAAGGTGCTGTTGTTCTAGCTTAGTGCTGGCACAGACCTTATCTGACCACCCCAGCTAAGTCTAGCCTATGTATAATCAGAATGGGAAGCTTCCAGTGAAATTGTAAACTACCTATTGCTCTCTACAGCTTCTTGAGGAGGGGAAGTGGAAGGGGAGGTGCTGATCTTTTCTTCCTGGTATCCCGTGACAGGACACATGGGAATGGTTCAAAGCTGCATTGGGGAGGATCACACTAGATATTAGGAAACATTTCTTTACTGAGAAGGTGGTCAGACACTGGGACAGGCTTCCTAGAGAGGTAGTCGAAGTGGTCAGGCAGTTGGACTAGATGATGGCTGTAGGTCCCTTCCAGCTGAACTATTGTATTCTATTCTTTTCTATTCTGTTTCTTTT